AATTTTGTATGCCCAGGTCACTGATCCATCCTCAAACATTAATATAATTAGTAAAGTACATAGTGCTACTTATCCTGATGGGGCTGATGGGGCTGTAGAACCCGGCGTGCTTAACACGCTCTTGACTAAATTCCACTAGTTGCAAGTAATAATTACACTTCTACAACCCCAGGAAAATGCCAGAGTCCTCCAGGAACGGGCAGTTGCTTACATCAACTCGGATTCATCCATAGAAGGTGGGTCTCTCATTTGTAAACTCACTTGATTTCACAGATGTCAATTTTAATAGTTTGCTGTGTATTATTTATTGCACCCAGAGCTGTCAAATATGACAGATAAAGTTCAGCGTAAGTGTAGCAAATCCAGAGTTAAGTGGAGAAAGAGAACAATTTGAATTCTCATGTTGCTTTCTTTTGCAAATAGCTCAGAATGTCTCCTCTGGAAGAGTTTAGTATTCTGTGCTAATGAACTGAGCAGTTTGAATGTTAAACTCTCTCTTAACCACATTAGCTTTACTTTTCAATTACGGTTTTAATGTATGACAGACTGCTCGTTGTTCTGCTTGCAGTTCCTTCATCTTTTCCCCGTGGAATTATATTTGGGACACTACTTTATTAAGATCTCAGGACAATTTGTTTTGAGTCCTTAAGATTCCATTTTATGGTGGTGGGACCCATTTTGGTGCGTTGGGCCAGTGTGGTCACCTTTGTTCATTGCTATGAGCAGGGAGAATACACAGGGAGTTACATATGTATTATGGCAGGACTCTTCTAGGAAAGTAAGTGCTAAAGAGTGTTTTACAGAAAACATGATCCACCATCATCCAATTTACTAAGCCCTTCAGAGTATGAGATGAATCTCTCATACAGGAATACTGCTTAGAAATTGGACTTTGAATTTTGGACCCAAAACTATGACCTAAATCACAAAATCTTTCTTAAGTTATATTGAGCTTTATTAGAGACGACTTCATTTACTGTTGTTGTGCTGAAATAACAGTAGAGTCCTGTGAAGCTGTCCAGCATCATAACCTGTTATTCAGAGCATTGCCCTTCCCATGTTAGACCAACTGGTTTGGGCTTATGTGTATGAATAAAATGGGTATCAACAGGCATATTTAAGAACTCTTTTTATTCCTGTCAGCTGAATATTTTGTCTGTCACAAAAGGATCAAAAAGAAAGAAAAGCCAAACCCAGTTTCTCAGTTGGAATTGGGATATAGGGAGGATTACAGCAGTTCCTTCAATTATGCAGCCTACATGCTGTGTAAAAAGTAGAGCAGAATTTCACGCCTAGAAGATCTCACGAATGAAATAATAGCTTTACAACTGCTTCATATTCTCTGCATGGATTGTAACACATATTTTTTAGTTGGTGTGCAGCCAACATGCTGCTGTCTTAACAATTTTCTTCTAAATCTTGATTATTCAAACATGTCTCTTGCTTTATGCAGTAAAGAAAATGTGAAAGTAAAACCACAGGAAAAGAAATATGTAATAAGGAAAAGAAGACCATATTCAGTGTACTGTTTTAAGTATCTTGGAGATCTTGGACCTGGCTGAGCATTAAAATCCTCCATAGAGCCATAGCATCCATGTACTCTGCTGATTATTTTGTTTATCATCATACATTCTCCACAGCGCTTTTTACGCCACGTTTTGGACAGCAAATTGTTTCTATTCATTGTCCTTTAGCAATGAAAAAAAGAACAGTGTGTCATGCTTTTGAGCATTTTTGTGGCTTTAATTTCCAATTCTCAAATACAGACTCTCCTTGGAAACATCACGAACATTATCTAGTACTTTTTCCATCATCATGAGGGTTTCTGTTGTTGTCAGTGTAATTCTCATGTGAGTACACACTGTGATGACCCAAATGTCTAAAGCTGTATCAAAAACCTGTGTCATCTGAGAGCTTATGTTTTGTCATGTGCCAGCCTTCTCATCCCTCTCCTCCTCTTTGTTGTTGTCTGTATTTGAGGACAGAGGTATTTATCCAGCTGCTGTCTGGTGGCTGTAGTACATAGAGAAAATTCTTTACACTCCTGTCTTCCTTGAAAGTGGCCATAGTTTCTTTTTGATGGGGCTGTTGTTTCTCTAACTGACAGCTTCCATATGAGACACTTATCTAGCTCAACATAGCCTGCAGGCAGTGTGGAAACCTTATGGGTGTAAAGTGTAGAAGCCCCATCATGGTGGTAAAAAGGGAGGTTTAGGAGACAGTAGATGAAAACATTACTCTTCGTCTTTGTTGCCTTCTGTTTGGGTGAGGCTAAGTTCTGAAATACATCATGCCAAATGTCTTGCAAGTCTCTTAAAAGATGAGCCGTCTCTCAGATACAGGCTGCGAAAACGTTGAATGAATACTCTTCAGGGTAAAAGAAGCAGCTGCATTGAAAGACTTCTTAAAACATCTTGCAGCGTGTACGCCTTTCCTCCTGCACAGCTCCTGAATGCACTTTTAGTTTTAACATCCTGCGAAAAGTTGCCATCACCTTCTGTATAACACAAGCTTCAGGGACTGTGTGTGTGACAGAGGCTCATAGCTAAAGAAGGATAGTTAGGCTTAATTTAGAACTATGGAAACACTTAGTTACGTTACAGTGTATGTACTGTAACCAGTGCATCATTGTCATGGAGTAGCAGTAGCTTATACAGTGTGACCATGTAGTGTCTGTCTGTATAAATTCTGAGGCAAAAATCTAAATTCTTGTTCTGGAGTCAAGAAGTCTGTCTAAGAAGGGACTGCAAGGTTTAATCCATTAGAAGATAATGCCACTGGTATGTGAAGGAAAATTTCCACATCTTTGTTTCATTTTCAGGTAACTACACACTAAGAGTTGACTGCTCCCCTCTTCTCTACAAACTGGTGTATAATCTGACCAAAGAGGTACAGAATCAGTGTGACTAGTGTTTGTGACTTTCTAAGAATGTAAAAGTGTAAGTTTACTGGATAAAACTGGATTATTAAATAATATTGGATTTGTCTTATCACTTTCCTGAAAGAATCTTGATCCCACCAAAATCGATGGCAAAAACTCCCATCACTGTACACAGTCCAGGCTCACAGTTCCTCAGTATTCTTAGAAAGGTTGAAATGTGTCACCAACTTCAGTGGACTATTATTGGCAATATATAGTAAAAATAATAATAATGAAAACAAGATAATAAAAAACTTGACCAAGATCAGCTCTCTAAAGTTATAAGCATTCAAGGAAATAAATTGCATTTTAAATTTCCCTTTCATGTGCAAAAGAGCATCTGTTCATTTTCACATTGGCTAGCTACCATTTTTCATCTTGTCTGTTCCCTCTGAGTCTCCTTCATATCTTACTGAGCTCCTGAAATCCTGTAATAAATACTGAGGGATTGAGTGGGTTTTGCAGCAGGCCAGATGTATGGATTTGCATGGTTACAAGTGGTCTGATCGTGCCTCCTTTGCTTTCACCTCTCAGGGTGAATTATCATGAGGCTGAAAGACTGTGATCTATTAAAGCATGACTCTTCATTGGCCATGTGAGGAGTTAACCAGAGTAGGCACTCAGCATCAGGTCACTATCTTCAGATCTGGAATCACCTCAGTTAACAGAAGACATCTCATTCTGACTTAAGCAACGTAAGCTCCTTTTAAAGGCAACCGTAGAAATAGATACCTTTAGGATTAGATTCATTTGACCAAACGTGGTGCTCTACTCTTGTACATACAGAGCTCTCAAACTCTTTCCCACCGTGAT